TTAGTCCCATGTGCTGCGTTTGCATGATTTCCCTTTCAATCATTGGCACCTCCTTCGTTTCCGATGGATCAAATTCTTACATTGTTCATCTGCCTCCCGTACGGTGGCTAGTGGCTTGTTACCGCTGGAGAGTTTTAATGATGTTTGAGCTGGGTTCAACTTCGTGGTAGGTTCAGCTACAAGTCAAGGGAGTAATTGCTCGCCAAAACCACATATTTTGATTTAGATGTGTTTAAAAAGATATATAAAAATGCAATGTTGAGTAATTTTGATGAATATTCAATGGCAGAAGTCCATGGGTTTATATACAGCACAAGCCAACAGTTTCCTTCCAACTAAACTTGACTTTGACATATATATGAGATGTAATTGGCCTGGCTTAGCCTACTCTATCAAGACAACTTCTCTAACCAAAGTGCTATTAAAATCTGAATTTAATCTGGAGCAAAACATTAGAACTCAATATCTTGTACAATAATGTCCCCAAAAAAGACGGGTAAACAAACAGCTTTCCAACGCGATCCACCCCTTTCCCTAACTGACATTGTTTCCAAATATGCCGAGGCTATGGCGCACACAACTGGTCATCTGGGAACCGAATGCTAATTGATCACAATGCTAATGAATAGCTCGGCGGTGAAAATCTGTCAGTGTGATGGTTGGCCAGCTGTGTGCCTGCTCCGCGATATAAAAAGACCTGTTTATTTCCAGCAGGAGGACGGGGATAGAGTGTGGAGGCGTGGTCATGGCGTTTCCACTATTCTGTACCTCGCATCTGTTTAGCATAGTCTTTACAATCCACAGCTGGGAGATTTGATCAAAGCGAATTATTATTGGGCTACACAAGGACGCAACGCAAACAAAGGGCGTACAAGGCCAGGGTTCTGTCACCACACGCTGGCTCGACGCATTCATTTGTATTCCGATCTATGCGTCTCAGAAGTGGTGGAGGAACCCCGCGGAGATACGTCCACTTATTCCAGCCTTTCCAACATCTCCACAATCAAGGGACAGCTAACCTCTCCGAGACACTTTTCAAGTCGGAGACACACCCCGGGCCTGGATGAATATTGTAAGAGCCTGCTTCATAAAAAAAAGAGGTTGAAGAGAAGGCAAGGCAAGGCAAGGCAAGTTTATTTGTATAGCACAATTCGTACACAAAGTAATTCAAAGTGCTTTACAGAATAAGAAATACATTAAAATCATAATAAAAACAAATCAAAACATAAATAATCATGAAGATTAAAATTAAAAAAGAGAGACATAAATTGGAGAGAAGAGTGCGGAATGAAAACCTTTCAGTCATATGCACAGTTAAACAGAAATGTTTTGAGTCTGGATTTAAACAGCGTCACAGAAGAGTCTGTCTCACATGTTCAGGAAGACTGTTCCAGGTTTTAGCTGCATGAACCTGAAACGCTGACTCCCTTGTTTAGTTCTGACTCTGGGCACCAGCAGGAGGCCGGTCCCTGAGGTCCTCAGAGTGCGAGATGGTTCATATGACACTAACATGTCACAGATGTACTTTGGTGCTCGGCTATGGAGAGACTTGTACACAAGCAGAGCTGCTTTAAAGTCTATTCTCTGAGGCACAGGAAGCCAGTGCAGAGACCTGAGCACAGGACTTATGTGCTCGTACTTCCTAGTTCGAGTAAGGACCCGAGCTGCAGCGTTCTGGATGTTCTGGATGTTCTGCAGCTGTCTCACAGCTCGTTTGGAGAGACCAGTGAGCAGACCATTACAGTAGTCTAACCTACTGGAGACAAATGCATGGATAAGTTTCTCCAAGTCTGCTTTAGACAGTAAACCTTTGATTTTTGCTATGTTTTTTAGATGGTAAAAGGCTCAGATGTTATTGATTTTATGTGACTGTTAAAGTTCAAGTCTGAGTCCATTATTACCCCTAGATTTCTTGCCTGATTTGAAGGTTTTAGAGCGAGAGACTGGAGGTGATTGCTGACACTGTCCTTTGTTTCTGTGGACCAAACACTATGACTTCAGTCTTGTCAGAGTTTAGCTGGAGAAAGTTGTTTTGCATCCACACACTGATCTGTTGGATGCAGTGACCAAGTGACTCACTGGTCCAAGTCTCCTGCTGCCAGAGAGACGTAGATCTGAGTGTCATCTGTCATCTGAGAACAGTATGACAGCAGTGAGAAGGCGATATGGCTTAAGGGCTTGTGGATATGTTACAAAAAAAAAAAGAAAAAGTTTGAAAAGGGATTAAACTTCAGTCTATGGGGGCATTAATTGCTAAAAAAATATTTACATGGCCGTGTTACTGTTTTGTTGACAGGCTGGTGCCACCTATTGCCTCCGCTCAATTTCATTTCTCTCTAGCAACTAGGTCAGAAATCGGAATACACTAGAAGGTTTGCAAGAACCCTGGAATTCGGAGTCCAGGCACCAGCCAATCAGCGAAGAGCCATACATTCCGTGTTGGCAACAATTCCCGAGATCGAAGATTTATAGCCGGAACAAAGAGAATGTTTGGTGAAATGTATCAAGGAGAAAGACGTTATTGTCCTTCTTCCTATGGGATTTGGGAAAAGCTTAATATACCAGTTAGACCCATTAGCGGCGCATTACATACGTCACGACCAAATAGGAATGACTGGTTAAATAAAAAAAGTGCCTGCCTACCGTCAAGCGAATGAATCCTAATGCTGTGAGGTCAGACCGTTTCTACGAAGTGAAACCAGCTGGTGAATCAGGCTAACTGTTTTGCTTTTAACACTTAAAACGTGTAACATAACTTTTTTTTTTTTTCTGTGCTAAGTCGCTTCCCCTTCAGAGCGTTACCACATTACGATCCTGCATCCTGCTAATTAAACTACTGCATGTCGCATCAGGTTTGTGAAGTTGTAGTGTGTGTTGTTTAGTATCTTGCTTTTGTATATTTATGGAAAATTGTCACGGATGATGTAGGCTTGTGGGCTGAGCATTGGACAGAATTGTACAGCTAAACGTAAGAAGTGTTCGAAAACAGCCTGGGAGAGATTGCTAGATTTCGCATATTACCCTTCATTAAGTTATACATTTCACAAGTTCTCAAAAACTTTAAATAGGGGTACAACAAATATTGCAATCTAATCAAAATTACAATATGAATTTGTGAATTAATAAAAACAATGAATAAGACTTACACAATTCCCTGTGCAAAAAATAAAATAACTAGTTTTGTTATGCAAAAACTGCTGACATTGTAGGACGGGTTTTGAAATGCATGCAGTTATTGTATTAGTTTAGCAATTCATATTTCAGTCTTCTGTTAAATGAGTATTCCCATGAACATTAAAATGTTTAAAAATCTGAATTTTGAACCAATTTGCAATGCCAGTCAGAAAATGTGCTGTTTTCAAAGTCATTCAGTTCTATTTGAAACTTTTTCTCAATTTTTTTCCAAGAACCGCCTAAAATAACAACCATTTGACCACCATAGAAGAGATGATGGATTTCAGAAGACTCACGAATTATAACTATGTCCAAAACATTTCACTGACTGACAGGCTGAAGGTTAAACAGCTGCCAAGCATTCATCACGTCTACGAAACACGAAACGACCCGACGCGTTGGCCATTATCACAATCCGACTGCATTGCGTAACCTATTGTCTCCGCGGCAACATAAATCCTATAGCGTGTGGAGGATTCTCAGCTGGAGGGCGCCCGTGTCTGGCTGTGAAATGACATTACTTAACATTTAGCGTGGCTGCGTTGTCATGAGGCGGTGCGTGAATCAGTGGTTTTTTGGGGAGAGAGAGGCAAATGTCAAACAGAATCCTTACAGCTCAGTGTGGCAGTGACAGAAGGACATGCTGCGCAACAATCTGTACAAGGCTGACGGGGCCTGCGAACGCCAAGACTCTATTCACTTCTGAAGCCTGGGCTCTTGATTATAAGTATGTGCACTTAGTTACACTGTCTTTGGATAAAGGTAAGCAAGTGATTGAGCTGAACGTTATACATTTACATTTACATATAACAGGCTCCTGCAACTCCGCTCAAACAGTGAAAGATTCAGGACTACATTAATATCACACTCCATACAACTGTACGACCTCTTGTATATAGCAGAGATATTTTTTTATGTATTTTCAATTTTATTTTGACTTGTACATTTACGTCTATATAATTATGCCTTATTTGACACCAATCTCTTGCTTTCTTTTTTTGCTACTTATTTATAACTTATTATTACCATATATATATATATATATATATATATATATATATATATATATATATATATATATATATATATATTATTTTTTTTTTACTTTTTGTTAATATATTATTGAATTATACACTTGTGTCAAAGTTATTTCCTTTGTGGATCAATAACACTTGTGAGTAAAAATGACAAAATATTTTATCAGAAGTGCCTTTTGTTTAGAAGGTGATGATGTTTTTGGGGCTTAAAAATGTAAAAATCTGAAACCACCCTCCAGAGTGGAAAAGTTGAATACACTCCACTGTAGCGTTTCAGTCAACACTGCCCAAGACGCAAAACTCTGGTCAGATCTGCTCACATTGCGTACACATTTACGTCACATACATCACCACCACCTAGCGTCACCTAGTCACCTGCCATGCATACCCAATCGAAAAACAAAACTAAACGAGATGAAAACGCTCGTCTAAACGCGAAATCAAAAGAGAAGACGAGACGCCACTTTGCATCTTCTGTTCAGACCGTCATCACATAAATGTAGCCTAAGTGTATGTCTATGTATTTTGGTTCTGTCCAGTTGAGGGCGCTAATTGTTTTTGTCTATGTTCATGCAAGAAGTAGAAGTAATAGATAGTTGTTTGAATAGGTCATGTGACACTAAAAGCAGGAAGTTCTCTCAAAGACAAGGGCTGTGTCCCAATTCGAGGGCTGCAGCCTCCAAAGGCTGGTTTTAAGGCCGCATACGTCACTTCCGGTGAAAGGCCTGTCCCATTTCATTTTTATGTCATGCAGCCTTCAAATGCAGCCCTAAAACCGGCCTCGTTTCCATGGAGATGGGGCCGCGAACGGAGGACACATCCGAGTATCCTTCGCAGCCTTCAGTATCCCAGCATGCACCGTGCGTCGGCAATCAGATGTTCGAAAACACGGAGCAAAAAGCCGGTCCCGAGAGCGGAGAAAAACATGTGAGTAACATTTTTAACTTTAGGAAATCATTACTAACACAACTGTAAACGTAAAATACGACCATAACTCCCACAAAACTGTCAAATAAGTTTGTTTTTAACTGCGTGAACCGCGGAGTTTTGAGCTAAAGTTTGCCCAGTAATGTGCAGCTAATGCGATGAAAAGTCCGCTCCAACTTTAATATTTGGACACATTTCCATCAAACACTCATCATGTTTTTTACTGTTCGGGGAAAAGAAGCCCACAGAGTGATTTAAAGAAGGTACGAGGAGAAAACTCCACGTTTTCACGGACAGTGTAAACATGTAAACAGTTGGTCAGTGTAGCTCGGAGTTAAGATGAAAACACACATTATTTCATACATTCAACTGAAAAAAGACTCAGTCTGACTCTATCAAAGCTCATATTTACTTGTAAATCACATCATGTAAACCTCCAACGTGTGCATTTCATTCAGAGAATACATGATCTGCGTTTAACAATCTGTGCATGTTTGTAAAGTGAAGAGTAAATAATCCTGCCTGGACAGGTCAGATTTATGATGGACATGAGGCTCATTTAACAGATTTGTGCAGACACTGGTGTAGATACGACCTGACTGTGTCTGTTCACTCTGTCACATCTAATGTTAGAACAATGAGAAATCTGTTTTACATGAATTTTCTTTTCAGAGCAGCTCTGTCCCAGTCTCAGCCAGACCGGGACCAGAGCGGGCCTGAGACCAAGACCGAGACAAGACCAGGACCAGACCGGGACCAGACCGGGACCAGACCGGAGGCTCAGAGCCCACGGCAGGGCCGGAGCTCGAAGCTGAGGCTCGGACCCCGTGGAGGCTCGGAGTCAAAGCTCGGAGTTCGCCCTGGTCCCGGTCTGGTCCCGGTCTGGTCCCGGTCTCAGTCCCGCTCTGGTCTCGGACCTGGATCCGTCCTGATTCAGTCCGTATGCGGTGCAAAAGTCCGGCATCGCAGTCACGGAAGTCACGTAAACGGGAAACGGCCGTTATCCGTTTTTTCCATTCTTCATTTAAACACAAAATCGAAAACTGAAAAACTGTCGTCGCTAAACATGCTAGCTACTAAAATGTTGTCCAAATAGGAAAAATTATACACAGTTGTAGTGAAAATAGCATATTAGACTAAGACGAGAAGATTGTGTTTGTCCATCTCAATAAATTCGGTCAATCTCTTTCGAGCTTTTTTGGTTTTCCATTGCCTCTGATCTGTGCCCTGGCCTGCTTTACCTCACACACATCAGTTTGGGTTTTACTAACAGTCACCAAATGTACAGTTGTCTCTGTAGACAGATTTATCCCACCTTTTATTCACATATAATACGTGCCATTAGCAAGTTCATTTTCATCATACTAATGCCACAGGGCCAGTGTGCTGTAGCCCTAACCAGAAAAATGCATGGTTTGGGTTACCAGTAGTTAAATGGCATGGATTAAATATTAAAATGGAAATAACGAGCAGTTTAGACATTGACAGAGCCTTAACATTTAATTGGTGTAATAAAGTTTTACAATGGTATCTTAAGGTATTATTAACCATGTTACTTGGGATCTTAAGTTACTTTTGATCTCTAGATCTTGCATGGTGGAGGAATCTGGTACCTTGGAGTCCCAATTAGAAGCCACCAAGGTTAGTTTTTAATGTATGAGGATTTATTGCTAATGCAGTAGAAACTATTGTGATGGTATGGTTATTTGCCTATTTTGTTTATAGCGTAAACACCAGGAGATCCGAGCCATGCGGAGCCAGCTGAAGAAGATTGAAGACTTGGGTGCAGCAATGGAAGAAGCGCTGATACTGGACAACAAATACACAGAACACAGCACAGTGAGTCTTGCACAGCAGTGGGACCAACTGGATCAACTATGGATCAGGATGCAACATAACCTGGAGCAGCAGATACAAGCCAGGTACACAAACATGCACACGAGGCAGAGTCCTGCACCATATCAAATAGTTTTTAACGTTCTGGAATTTTATGGGCGGATATGCGGGCGGGTACTGATTACACACTGGCGGATCAGGACTAAATCAGGACTAAACCAGGACTACACTAGTACTGATCTTGGACTTAAGAGAGAGAGAACCCTGAGCCCATGGAGCAGGGTGTCCGCAAAGCACAATCGGGTGACGGTTGCGCGTACCTCCATAGGGTGCAGAGCTATGCGCCGGTCCTTTCGTGGTCACCCAACGGTCTACGCTGGCGCGCCTCTGGGCTCGTCCCGACAGTTAGTCCTGGTTCAGTTCTGGTTTAGTCCTTCTGGTTCACTCCTGGGATCAGTCCTGGTTCAGTCCGTGACATGTGCGGCGCAAAAATTCAGCATTCCTGATCAATGTTTCTTCTGCTCAGTAAATAATGCCTGTGAAGTAAAGTCACATTTTTGACAGTAAACTCATGTCTTTGAATTTTATTCGTACTGATTTCCTGATTGTAATTCATGAAGTCGTAACTTTTCAATTTGTATTCTGATGGATGCTTCAGTTAGAATAGTTTTATTTTGTGTGTGATTTATCACGGGCGGGTAATGTTAACGGGTCCGGGCGGGTGGGGGTTTAACTTTGATATAATCATGGGTTAACAGGTGGGTACTGCGCGGGTGCAAGCAGGTGCGGGTCTCCAAAAATTTACCCATGCAGGACTCTGACACAAGGCCTCAACAAAACATTCTTTCACATTCACACACTGATGGTGAAATCCTGTCCCCCTGACTTTAGGAACACAACAGGGGTGACAGAAGAGGCTTTAAAGGAGTTCAGCATGATGTTCAAGTAAGAAACTCCATCATTAACCAGCTACTCCAAGTATATGGACAAACCTGATCAGTTTACATGTTTTTGTAGACACTTCGACAAGGAAAAGTCGGGAAGGCTAAACCACCAGGAGTTCAAGTCCTGTTTGAGATCACTGGGCTATGACCTGCCGATGGTGGAAGAAGGAGAGCCAGATCCTGAGTTTGAAGCCATTCTTGACACAGTAGATCCCAACAGGTTTGCAATTAAAATAATTAAAAACTGAATGTAGTGTATTCCCTTACTCTTTTTTTATTTAAGTAACATGTTCACAGGGATGGAAATGTGTCTTTACAAGAATACATGGCCTTTATGATAAGCCATGAGACAGAAAACGTCAAATCCAGTGAAGAGATTGAGAGCGCCTTCAGAGCACTCAGCACAGAGAACAAACCCTACGTCACAAAAGAGGAACTCTATCAGGTAAGATGTGTGCCTTTTATTAGAATACAGATTCAATGCAATGTCTAACTCTCTGTTTCTTTCAGAATTTAACCAAGGAGCAGGCAGACTACTGCCTGTCACACATGAAACCCTACTTAGACAGCAAGGGTCGCGAGATGCCCTCAGCATTCGACTTTGTTGAATTTACCCGCTCGCTTTTTGTTAACTGATTCATAGCTCCCCAGTGATCAATCGAGATGCGTTTGCTTCACACTCAGACACAAAGCTGAAACTGCATGAATGTGGCACTAGAAATACTCAGTGATAGCCATTTACCTTTGTCCTAACTATGTGCTTCTAATAATATAATAACTGTCTGTATCTGAACGTGAATGTTTAGCCGTTTTAGCATTTGCTTTCACTGAATAATACACTGTTAATGTAAACACCTTGAAAACTGCAGTGTGCTTTTATTAAACGCTTCTGGTTAGAACTGGAAACATGTTGTTTTGTGTATTTATTTATTAAAGATTTTTTTCATGTCATCCAAAGGTTAACACATCTCATTCTGCCACTTGTTTGGCTATGTGGTCTAGCTGACTGATTTCTCTAGGACCCTGCTCTGTCAAGTCACCACTGAGCTGCCATATGCTGGCTGTGCCATCAGTTTTCCCCACAGCCAAGAGGTGAGTGTTCTGGGAGTTAAATGCCAAACACGTCGCAGCTTGACCACTGCCACCCTTCTCAATGGTGGCAGTAGGCTTCAAAGACCCATGTCCTAGATCAAAAATCTGCACCTCACCTAGAAAATGAAAGTATAGTATTAAGATTGTAGAGTCATCCCTCACTGTAGCAAGACGATAATAAATTAGCTGCAGTTAGTTTCAGTGTCATTAGTAGATCTATAACTCAAAAACTGTTCTAACTTTTTTTTACATTTTAATGCAAGCTAACTACATTTTATTCAGAGGGCGAATAATGAATGAATACCTTGACTACTTGCTGCAGCAAACACTAGAGGTCTGCTTGGGGACCATTGCACCTGGAAAATGTAAGAATCAGAAACTCTGACAGAAAGCACTGGGTTGGCCTGGAGCAGAGAGTGGATGTGCGCGAGTCCGTCCGTCCCAGCACTTACAAAGAGGTTTCTGAAATAAAACATTACAGACACATTGTCACTTCAGAAATATTATGTTTATGCAAGGGCTATCTAATTAATTACAATATTACATTGTAAAAGTACTATTTATCAAAAAACAACTTGATTTTAATACTCATAAGGCAAAAATCTATGTTTTTCTGTGAGTGTCAATAGTGTAAAACCCACAAAATTACTAAAGACAAACATTTCTAAATTATTTTTTTTTAAAAAGAGGTACTTTTCATTTCTTGAGAGAAAAATGTATTTAAACTATAGTCTACTTATTTATTGGATAGCACCTGTATGTAGTACATAAGACTGCTACCTGTGGAAAGGAGAACAGTGTATAGAATGAATGACCACTGTGTTTTCTAAATGAAAAATCTTAATGAGAACATTGCAGCTTCTGATGAGAAAAGCATGAAGGTCATGCATCTCATTCTGCCACTTGTTTGGCTATGTGGTCTAGCTGACTGATTTCTCTAGGACCCTGCTCTGTCAAGTCACCACTGAGCTGCCATATGCTGGCTGTGCCATCAGTTTTCCCCACAGCCAAGAGGTGAGTGTTATGGGAGTTAAACGCCAAACACGTCGCAGCTTGACCACTGCCACCCTTCTCAATGGTGGCAGTAGGCTTCAAAGACCCATGTCCTAGATCAAAAATCTGCACCTCACCTAGAAAATGAAAGTATAGTATTAAGATTGTAGAGTCATCCCCCACTGTAGCAAGATGATAATAAATTAGCTGCAGTTAGTTTCAGTGTCATTAGTACATCTATAACTCAAAAACTGTTCTAACTTTTTTTTTTTTATATTTTAATGCAAGCTAACTACATTTTATTCAGAGGGCGAATAATGAATGAATACCTTGACTACTTGCTGCAGCAAACACTAGAGGTCTGCTTGGGGACCATTGCACCTGGAAAATGCAAGAATCAGAAACTGGGAGAGAAAGCACTGGGTTGGCCTGGAGCAGAGAGTGGATGTGCACGAGTCCGTCCGTCCCAGCACTTACAAAGACGTTTCTGAAATAAAACATTACAGACACATTGTCACTTCAGAAATATTATGTTTATACAAGGGCTATCTAATTAATTACAATATTACATTGTAAAAGTACTATTTATCCAAAAACAACTTGATTATAATACTCATAAGGCAAAAATCTATGTTTTTCTGTGAGTGTCAATAGTGTAAAACCCACAAAATTTGTAAAGACAAACATTTCTAAATTATTTTAAAAAAAAAAGAGGTACTTTTCATTTCTTGAGAGAAAAATGTATTTAAACTATAGTCTACTTATTTATTGGATAGCACCTGTATGGAGTACATAAGAGTGCCTACCTGTGGAAAGGAGAACAGTGTATAGAATGGATAGGACCACTGTGTTTTCTAAATGAAAAGACTGCTGGAGCTCTTAATGAGACATTCTGGCCCTCAGAAGCAACCATTGCCAGCTTCTGAGATGAGAAAGAGCATCTGAGGAGCAAGCCTCCCTCCGAACCAACCAAGAATGTGTCAGAATCCCAGAATGATCTAGCCAGAGCAGTGACTCCAATGTTACTACTGCCTCTTGTCTGACAAAAAAAAAAAAAAGGAGTAAGTGTTGTTCAAAAACAACACTGATGTTTTAAGTGTTTGCTATAGTCTCTCACCTTAAAGCCAGCACTACTGCTATGAGGAACTTGTTGCAAAATTAACGCATAGCCTGTGCTGAGAATTAGGCTGCTTTGGTCCAAGTTCCACAGTAGGATTCTCCCTCCAGAACAAGCACTGAGAATCCCAAACACACCCTTCTTCTGAAGGGGCACCCATGACACCTAAGGACAAAAAAAAGAAGCTTTGTATGACATCAGCCTTTCTGTCCCAAAAGACAATCTATTGTAACGTAGATATGTGCCTTATAAACTGGCTCTCTGTGACTGTCCGCCAATATACTGGTTTGGGCCAACACTGTATCCTGAGTGCGGCTAGTGTCCCAAACTACCACTTCTCCACTGTAAAGACCCCCTGCAAGCAGACCACATATTTACAGGCATTAAAAAAGCAAAAGCTAGAATTTGACTTTTAAATACATCACAGATATAGGGGCAGACAAAAAAGTGCAGAAATATTACTATACCTATACCATATTTGAAAAAATACACGTATTTGTTTTATTTTTAATCTGCTATTTTTGTTGCTTTAAATGGTTTTAATTATAGTCACATCTGTTGCAATATTATACATTGGATTTCTACTTTTGAAAACTATGCAAGTGTTACACATTAAACAGTTCTTCCCTACCTGCTATGAGGGCTGGCTGGTCTGGGTGACAGCACAGAGCCGTTACTGCTGTTGGGACATCTATGACCGTGTCAGCATGTGTGGGACTCAGGCCTTTTCTGTTCAGGTTCCATGTACAGACAAAAGATTTTTCTGTGCTCCAGTCCCCATCATCTATCCTATACAAAAAGAAAACAAAAGTAACTAAATAAATGAATTGTGAATTATTCTTTCTGGTATTATTCTTTCTAACGGTTAAAATATGCCATAACCTTAGCCTACATTTAAGCTGTTTCATATACTCTGGCTACTTACGAAAGCCTAAAGGTGATTATTTAACAAACCATACCGGCCAAAACCACAGGAAACAACAGAACCAGTACAGTTCCAGGATATACACGTCACATGTAGACCTCTCTCCTTAGCGCTGGGATGCTCAAGACAATGAAGACATGAAACCTGTAAGCACACAACACATAACTTCACTGTTATGACTTGCTCATCAAGCATACAGTCTATATTAAATCTTTTACGGACAAGATCACAGTGGTCCTCCCAGCTGACTTTAAATCCGTCAAATGCGTGACTTCTGGCATTTTTGACTATCTCTCGGATAACACTTTCCACCACTCGGTCCAGAAAGTGCTTTAGTTCAGGTTTGTCGAGCTCCTTTGGGTTTGGTTCATACAGAGTGTGCTCATCTTTGTCCTCGAACTGGGTTTGTGTACCGCTAAAGCTGGTGATCACAGACTGTGCCTCTGCGTCTGCACTCCGCAGCTGTTTGGTCTGGCAGCGTCTCTAAAACCAGATGTGATCAATATTTACAATCAATACAATACTGACAATATTTAACTCAACTAACATCTGATTAACATGAACTAGACATGTTGACCTTCGCTACATACCGAATGCTGCTCCGAGTGTTGGGACTGTCTCCACAGTGACTGGACACAGACTGAGTCTACGGTCTCGTCGCTAAACATGCTAAATCCAATTTTAATAAATCGGTTCTAGATTGAAACAGCTACTTTTCTGCCCCATTCTTACTTCATATGTTACCCTTATGTGTAAGACCTTTGAATAAAAGGTCCACCTTCCTTTTGAAATCAAAATGCTAGGCCTCGTTTCCATGGAGATGGGGCCGCGAACGGAGGACACATCCGGGGAGCGGCTCCGAGGGCTAGACCTGTCCCATTTCCGCAACGGCCTGGCGGTCCACGGAGGCCAGTTCAAGGGCTGCAGCCTTCGCGGCCGACGAAGGACCCAGCCTTCACAGCCTTTGGAGGCTGCAGCCCTTTGAATTGGGACACAGCCAAAGTGTTGTTTTCAAGCAGGTTAATCCAGACACCTCTGCATACATGTTTGGTGCCATTGTGGGTATGTATTGATATAATTTAACTTGAATATTTTTGTTTTTATTAATTATAAAAACAATGATCAGTTATTAATTATCACATAACAGTAATTTTTTAATGATGGTCACATAAAGAATGGTGATAAGTAGCAACAGACAAGGTACGTGAGGTCAAGTTAATACAAATAAGTAAACCTAGTGAGATGGGTGAGTGCGATCCACAAGGACACAACAACAGTATGCAATAAGACTTAGAATGGATTATTTTCTTTCTTTTTCTCTGCTATGTAGTTACAGAACTGAAAAAACAACAAGGCAACAAGTCCTGACTCTGGCGAAGTTTGTGGCACAGTTGACGTCGCCGCGTGAACAAAGCGCACCCAAAGCGCTCATCAGGAACAGAATCTGGGTTAGAACTGTTGACACGCCATGGATCACAGTGTGAGACAAACCAACATCTGCTCCGCTACACGATTTATAGCTGCCTGTCAACGCGCATACGAAGCCTCTATATCACCTGCTCTGTTCGGGAGGCTGCATACATTTACATAGGACAGTATTGATTATGCACTTTACTTTGAAATTACTGAACAGGCAATCATTATGGATTTATCAAAAGTTAAAGGTGCATTGCGTAACTTTCCTGGTGGAGGGTTCGTCAAATGCTTTTCTTCGTGGCGGAGTTATTGTAATGTCTGGAATATTTCACAGTATGGTATTAAACCTTTCTATCTTCCTGGAGACCAAACCAGACCAAGTTACAGGTCAGATCTGTGGAGAGGCAACCCCGCTCACAGTCAGAATGCCTGTTTTTCTGGGCTATAAAACCACCTGTAATTGAATAAATGTAAAGTAGAGTTGTTTAATGTCATACTGTGGAACATTCCAGGCAGACCAATGACACATTCATAGAAACAAGTAGGGGATGGATCCCAACCAAAAAGTTACATAGTTCACCTAGCCAAACAATTTTTAGAAAAAAAATGTAATTGTGATTTTCTGGCAGATATTGCGATGTCGATTTCATCTATGATTTTTTTTTCAAATCATGTTCTAGTCCACATGAACATTTGCAAATATCAGAAACTTACATCACGCCTGCACGAACGATTTGATCCTGGACCATTTGCGCAGATTTGTTTACATTTTACAGAAACAGAACTTAAAACCACATGGCTCATTTGCATAAACTATAAGCGCTGATAAGAACAGCTCGCTCCTTGTGCACTGATGTGGTCAGACTAAAGGACATGACTCAGTGGAATATGAGTGTTCTCTCTCTGACAGATGATGTTCTGATGATGGTGAGTCTGTTCTGTGCTTCCATTACGTTGGAGATGGTTTACGTTAAACTTCACACAAACGCCATGTTTAAATCTTAGCCTCCTAGTGTTGTGGTGGTGAATTACTTTGCGGCGCATAGACCTCACAGACCCATAAATCAAAAACGACGGTGGGAAGGCGACGGCGGCAGTGCGCGTTAAGTCAACGCAGAACTAAACTTTGCCCTTAAAATTGGACTTTAGGAGCAATGCAAAAAACAAAAACAAAAAAAATAAACGTGGCTTTGACGCTCCCAAAATCATTGTCTGAGATTGCGATTTTCGATTTTCCAAATGATAGATTGTCCAGCCCTATTTCACCTTTAAACAGTTAAACAAGAATGAAAACACAAGCCAGCAAGTGCTATTCTTCATGCGGGGTTTTGGATTAGTTGTAAGGTGGATTCCTTCTTGGAGATGTAATTTATTTAGATGTAATGTTCCACAGTATGACATTAAGCCAATCTCCAAGCAGGAGACACCACTTGGCCAAGCAACACGTCAGATATGTTGAGAAGACTACATTTTTTTTCAATAAAAGAAGACATATAATAGACTAAACGCTAGATAGAGGGTAACTGTGGAACATTTCAGGCAAAGCAATGATATCTCCATGGAAACAAGACCTGCACATCTGATATTGTCCACCCTGCAGGCTCAAAGAAACATATAAAGAAGAAAAAAATACTATCTATTTCTAACGGTATATTAAAGCCGGATGAACACAGAGATACGCATCAGGTAGGGCATCTGAGTAAAACTTGTCTAATCAGAAAACCACCGTTCAATAGCTAACACACTATTTGCAGCGGCTATCCAAAAAATTGAAAATCCAAACTAAAAGATTATTTTTTCCCCAAACCTGCTCTCTCCCTGTACAGGTCAACAGAGAGTCTGCCAATCTCCCAATGATATTTCCGCTACAGTAACCCCCCTCTCGAGAGCGGCCAATCAAACCCAGCCAGTGCTTTCTGTATTTACAAAACCTGTTGTGTTTACCGCCGGAAAAAACATCACCGACGCCCAATTGCTCTTGCGCTGGGGACCCATTTCACCGCGCCATTGTCTTGTATCTTCGTCTTTCCACCTTTTATGTCCCCTCATGAATGCCTTATGTTCACTCCCAAGCACAATCTCCATAGCCTCCCGGGGGCATAGACGGATGATGCATCGTCCTCGCATGCACGCTATCAGGAAGTACGTGATGTGATGTCGTGATACGGGCCCAAAACAAGTCCAAGGTCGGGGCATTGGTGATTAAGAGAACGCCATTGTCTGGGAGTGGGGATGCTAGCTCGGTTTGCTTTAAATAGTTGTCGGCTAATGGTAAATCAATAGCCAGGGAGAGGGATGATTAAACATTCCATCTTTGACTAATGGCGTTACCGCTTTGGATTTTCAATGCGTCCTTAGATACAAAAATAGGACTGGGCAGATCGTTGAGCTCACAAAGAAAACCATGCATTTTTCCACTGTTAAATAGGCTACGTCTATATCAGGCATCAACAGGCGCTTTTGTCTTTGAAATAATTTTTAAATGTGCACTGTGAATTTTCGGTTCGTCGTCTCTACCTGTTTGTCCCCATGGAGATTGCTTTGCCTGGGATGTTCCGCAGTATGACATTTAAATTAAAGTGCCCAATTACACTGTTTTCTGATCTATAATGTTGTTTCCTCATGACAAACAGACCTGGAGTTGTGTTTTGTTTCTTTCACACGTTTAACACACAATATTTAGGACAGTTCTTCTCTCAAAAGGAAAACTGTTCCAACTTGTGGTGTCATGTGGTAATCCAGGAAGTGCTCCGGTATGTTTTTAAACTCCATACACCATAACTAGAATCATTTGGATAATATCAGCTCTGGCATTGCGCATCTCTACTGAACTAAAAGTAAAAGGTAACTGTTAACTTGAAAACTACTGCTTCATGACATCACAAGGTGGAACAGAACATTTTCAGCTTTGGAGATGTAGACAGACTAATAATAAAGAATTACTCAAACATGTGTGAATGAAACAATACACAACTCCAGGTATGTTTTTAGGAGGTGACACAGGGGCAGTTCTAGTGGAGGGGCCACAGGGGTCCCCATGGCCCCACCTCTAATCTGACTGGCCCCTGAAGTGCCCCTGTTCTGTCAATCAGTTGACAAGAACAACCAGAGAATTCAATGATCACTGATGCAATTCCACCCCCAAACTCTTGACGGCAGTAGATCTATTATGTCAATACAACTTAATGGGAGAAGAAACAGACCTGTAGAGGGCTTTGTTTTTGTTTTTGTTTTTACTGTCTGTGTTCATATTTTCACAGAACTGAAATAATCATTTGTGTGCTTGGATGTCCCCTGTACTTTGCCTGTACTTAATGGCCCCTGTTTCCAGTGTTGGGAAGGTTACTTTTAAAATGTATTCCCCTACAGATTACAGATTACATACCCCAAAATGTAGTTTCTAACGGGTTTCCATTAAATTACTTAAAGTGAGTAACGTAATCTGAATACTTTGGATTACTTGGTTTGCTGTAGAGCAGCAAAGACGGGGATATCGTAACATAAGACGTTTTGTCTGATAAAAGAAAATAAAAAGCCCAGTCTTTACTTAACCAAATTAAAAATATTATTGATAGAAGAGGAGGAGGAGACACGGGCTGCACAATGTGGTTTAGTCCTGTTAAATCCTGTTAAATCCTGTTTTAGTCCTTGTTTTAGTCCTGGTTTAGCTTTGGTTTAGACATTTATTTCAACAAAGTAACTGTAATCCAATTACCACTCATTCAAACAGTAACTGTAACTGTTACTGGTAATTAGTACTCATACTTAGTACTCTGATTACGTAACTCCGGTACATGTAATCTGTTACTCCCCAACACTGCCTGTTTCAGAAATATCCTAGAACCGCCACTAAGGTAACAACATTTGAACTTGACTAAAATCTCAAATAGTCCAGTTTGTATAATATAGTACCTTTAACTATTTAGCATTTCTTAAATTACATGTGTTGTAATTATGTCCTTAAAAATACACTAATCAATATGTATTCTTTTTGAGTGGGCTCGCTTCTCCATAGATCTGACCTGTAACTTTGCTTGGTAGCACCACCTGCTTGTCACTAAGGAGTCACATACAAGTAAAATGACGTACCTTGGAACAATCTGTGCAAAGAAATAACATCTCCATTGAGACTGAACACATACCTAAACTGTCCTTGGGCAAGACACTTCAGCTGCGTACTTTATATGAATATTTATGGAAAACTTCTATTCACAAACAAGATCCTAAAGACACAGCCTCTTCAAATCCCCAG